CAAAGGGTTGTGAATCTGTGGCATTCCCTGCCCAGTGAAGTAGTTGAGGCTAACTCATCGGATGTTTTTAAAGCTAAAATAATTTTTTGAATGGTAAAGGAATTAGTGGTTATGGTGAGAGGGTGGGTAAGTGGAATTGAGGCCATGAAAAGATCGGCCATGATCTTACTGAGTGATGGGGCAGGCTTGAAGAGCCAGATGGCCTACTCCTCCAGGTTCTTGTGTTCTAAGTGCATTGAAGTACTCCGCGCTATACAGAACGCTTTAAATGCCGAGTTCTCCTTCACTTTTCCTTTTTTAGATATTGAAAATGCTGATTGACTGAATTAAGATAGAGACTAAAATGAGGAAGCGTTTTTAAAAATGTATTTTGGAATATTTTTGTTTCAAGGCAGAAATTTGATATCTCAGATAGAAAATTTGCCTTTCTGGACTACATGAGGGTCTTTGTGAGTAATTCCATTAATGAAGTAAATCTGGAATTAAAAAGTTTGCGACACTAAATTTGATCCTAGGTATTGTAAGAATCTTGGCATTTATAAACCATTTAAAAGCCTAGTTACTTCTTTCAGCAAAATGGTTTCAAGGAGTTTTACAGTGAGACAAGCAACATAAAAGTGGAACTTCTCATCAATTTCATTGCTGTCAACATCAAAATCTCTGGAAAACCACAGATTCACTAACCGTTGAATGAGTAGACCCCAGAAATTCCTGTTGTTTTCAGTGGCATAATGTAATAGAGCCATAGAGCTGTTCAGTACAGAGACAGACCTTTCAGTCCAACTCGCCCGTGCTGACCAGATATCCTGTATAAATTGAGCCCCATTTGGCCTATATCCCTGTTAAACCCTTCCTATTCATATACCCATCCAGATGCTTTTTTAAATGTTCTAATTGTACCACCATCCACCATTTCTTCTGGTATCTCATTCCATGCATGCAGCACCCTCCGTGTGAAACAGTTGCCCCTTAGGTCATGAGAACATAAGAAGATAAGAACATAGAACATAAGAACTAGGAGCAGGAGTAGGCCGTCCAGCCCTTCGAGCCTGCTCCGCCATTCAATAAGATCATGGCTGATCTTTTCGTGGACTCGGATCCACTTACCCGTGTTCTCACCGTATCCCTTAATTCCTTTATTGTTCAAAAAAAATCTATCTTATCTTTAAAAACGTTTACTGAAGTAGCGTCAACTACTTCACTGGGCAAGGAATTCCATAGATTAACAACCCTCTGGGTGATCAAGTTCCTTCTCAATTCAGTCCTAAATCTGCTCCCTCTAATCTTGAGGCTATGCCCTCTTGTCCTAGCTTCACCTGCCAGTGGAAACATCCTCTCTACTTCTATCTTATCTATTCCCTTCATAATTTTATATGTTTCTATAAGATCCCCCCTCAATCTTCTGAATTCCAATGAATATAATCCCAATCTACTCAGTCTCTCCTCATAAGCCAACCCCCTCAACTCCGGAATCAACCTAGTGAACCTCCTTTGCACCCCCTTCAGTGCCAGTACATCCTTTCTCAAGTAAGGAGACCAAAACTGCACACAGTACTCCAGGTGTGGCCTCACTAGCATCTTGTACAGCTGCAGCATAACCTCTCTGCTTTTATTCTCAATCCCTTTAGCAATGAAGAACAAAATTCCATTTGCCTTCCTAATTACTTGTTGTACCTGCAGACCTACCTTCTGTGATTCATGCACAAGGACACCCAGGTCCCTCTGCATAGCAGCATGCTGCAACTTTTTACCATTCAAGTAATAATCCTTTTTACTATTACTCCTACCAAAACATATGACTTCACATTTATTTACATTGTATTCCATCTGCCAGACCTTTGCCCACTCACTCAATGTATCTATGTTCCTCTGCAAAGTTTCACAGTCATCTGCACACTTTGCTCTGCCACTCATCTTAGTGTCATCTGCAAACTTTGACACCCTACACGTGGTCCCCAACTCCAAATCATCTATATAAATTGTAAATAATTGCGGTCCCAAAACCGATCCCTGAGGCACACCACTAGTCACTGACTGCCAGCTAGAATAGCACTCATTTATCCCCACTCTTTGCTTCCTGTTAGTCATCCAATCCTCTATCCATGCTAATACTTTACCCTTAACGCCATGCATCCTTCTCTTATGAAGTAGCCTCTTGTGCGGCACCTTGTCGAAGGCCTTTTGGCCTTCTAGGTACACCACATCCACTGGCTCCCCATTGTCCACCTTGTTCGTAATGTCTTCATAGAATTCCAAAAGATTTGTCAAGCATGACCTGCCCTTCATGAACTCATGCTGCGTCTGCCCAACGGGACAATTTCTATCAAGATGCCTTGCTATTTCTTCCTTGACAATAGACTCGAGCATCTTCCCCACCTCAGAGGTTAAGCTAACCAGTCTATAATTCCCCATCTTTTGTCTACTTCCCTTTTTTAAACAGTGGCGTCACATTTGCTGTTTTACAATCTGCTGGGACTGCCCTAGACTCCAGCAAATTTTGGAAAATTACTGCCAGTGCACCTGCTATTTCTCCCGCCATCTCTTGTAGTACCCTGGGATGCATTCTGTCAGGGCCAGGAGACTTATCAACCCTTAGCTCCATTAGCTTGCCCAACACTACCTCTTCCGTAATAATGGTTGTTTCCAGGTCCTCACCTACCTTCGTCTCTTTGTCAGTTACTGGCATGTTATTAGTGTCCTCCACTGTGAAGACCGATACAAAATACCTGTTCGATGCCTCGGCCATTTCATCATATCCCATAACTAAATTCCCCTTCTCATCCTCTAAAGGGCCAATGTTTACTTTAACCACTTTTTTTTCGTTTTATATATTTATAGAAACTTTTGCTATCTGTCTTTATATTCTGTGCTAGTTTTTTCTCATGTTCTATCTTACTTTTCTTTATAGCTCTTTTTGTGGCTTTCTGTTGACCTTTAAAGTTTTCCCAATCTTCTAGTTTCATGCTGTTTTTGGCCACTTTGTATGCCGTCTCTTTCAATTTGATAGCCTTCCTTATTTCTTTAGACACCCATGGCAGATTACCCCTTTTCTTACAGTCCCCTTTAAATCTTTCCCCTGTCACCTTAAACTCATGTCCTCTAATCCTGGACTCTCCTACCCTGGGGTAAAGACCTTGGCTATTCACCCTATCCATGCCCCTCATGATTTTATAAACCTCTATAAGGTCACCTCTCAACCTCCGGTGCTCTAGGGAAAATAGCCCCAGCCAATTCAGCCTCTTCCTATAGCTCAAACCCTCCAGTCCCAGCAACATCCTTGTAAATCTTTTCTGCATCCTTTCAAGTTTAACAACATCTTTCCTCTAGCAGGGAGACCAGAATTGCACGCAGTATTCCAAAAGTGGCCTGAACAATATCCTGTACAACCGCAACATGATTCCCAACTCCCATATTCAATGCACTGACCAATAAAGGCAAGTGTACCAAATGCCGCCTTCACTACCCTTTCTGCCTGTGATGCCACCTTCAAGGAGATGGAACCTGACCATTTTGCTGTTTTTGCGACTACCTAATCTGGGCCTTTGTACAGGGGCACAAATTACAGTGCAATGAGAGAAAAGTGGTTGCACCACTTTGTGACATGTGCAAATATATTGTCTTGTTGTTTTGTTCTGTGCAATTACAGGTCCTGGAAATAACAGTGGTGATTATGGTCCAAAATCTTCTGTTTAATGAAAATGTAGAATATACAATTCATGTAGTATTTTAACAAGATAGAATTTCTCAGTCTCTCTTTAGTTGCTTCGACGGGACAATGTTCCTTGCTTTTTATAGATGTCAGATATCCTTAAATTGTTGAGTGAACCTATTCTCCATCTTATGCTATAATTTTTACATTGAAGTAATTATTGAGATTTAATCTGTGGAAAAATGGTGATTAGCAATGTATAATTAAACTCGAATTTTGAGTTGTTAACTTTTTTATTTTCTTTCTAATAGAAACAATAGTACACATTCAGGAATCTGTCCGAGGAAAAGATGTGTTTATTATTCAGACTGTTTCAAAGTAAGTCATATTAAATGTAATTCTTTACTGTGCATTTCACTGATCAAATAAGGAATGTAATTTTATGCAATTTGCACTTGGCTTTTGCATGAGATGTGTTTTGAAAATGAAGTTTTATCTCTAATCTCTGGTACCTTTGAATTTGAATTTGACTTTGATTTAAAGTTGGGTTTTGTAACTTCAGTATTTAAATGCAATCAAAGAAAGAACACCAGTTCTGTTTCTTTGACTTACAGCAGAACAAATATTAAATTAACCTTTCAGAGTTGCATGTACATTTTAAAAGTTAGATCTCTCTAATTGCAAAATACCACATTTAAAATTAGAAATACACACTGGATTTTACCTCCTAAAACATTTATTTTGATTTTCGGTGGTCATTTTGTCTGTGTTAATCAGTTTTCACAACAATTGAACATGCTTGGAGATCTATCCTGGTTCTCCAAGAAGTTAGTCTCAACTACAGATCTGACATAAGCTGAAGCTCTTGATAGATTCTAAGAAATATTGTTGTGTTTTACCAGCATTTTGTTAATTAAAAGAAACCTGTGAAAGACTGTTGCAATTCTCAATGATCTGGTTCAACCTACCTGACTACATTAAAGAAAAACTCGTAATATCTCCGCTGTTGCATAAAGCTGGATTGCCAGTGTATCGATTTGAACATTTGTGCAGAGCTACATTAGGGCTGTCTGCCTATTAATTTTCAGTTTTATGTGACACCAGAGGAACAGTGTTATTGTAATTGGCCAAGTAGCTACAGTACTGAATCGTTTCAGGACTAACCGAGATAGCAGTTTTAAGTCTAGCCTTAAGTTGCTTCATTAGTTGGATTTGCCTGGAGAGAGTAAGAGAGACAGAGATGTACAGCATGGAAACAGACCCTTCGGTCCAACTTGTTCTTGCCAACCAGATATCCTAAATTAATCTAGTCCCATTTGCCAGCATTTGGCCCATGTCCCTCTAAACCCTTCCTATTCATATACTCATCCCAACACCTCTTTAAATATTATAATTGTACCAGCCTCCACCACTTCTTTTGGCATCTAACTCAATACACGCACCACCCTCTGCATAGAAAAATTTGCCCCTTTAAAAAAGCCCCTTTTAAATCTTTCCCTTCTAACCTTAAACCATGCCCTCTAGTTTTTGACTCCCTATCCTGGAGGAAAGTCCTTGGCTATTCACCCTACCCATGCCCCTCGTAACCTCTTAAACTTCTATAAGGTCACCTTTCATCCTCTGCTCCAGGGAAAATAGCCCCAGTTTATTCAGCCTTTCCCTGTAGCTCATACCCTCCAACCATGGCAACATTCTTGTACATCTTTTCTGAACCCTTTCAAGTTCCACAACATCCTTCCTGTAGCAGGGAGACCAGAACTGAACACAGTATTCTAAAAGTGGCCTAACCAATGTCCTGTACAGCCGCAGCATGACCTCCCAACTCCTATGCTCAAAGCACTGACCAATAAAGGCAAACATACCAAATGCTGCCTTCACTACCCTGTCTACCTGCGACTCCAGTTTGAAGGAACTATGAACCTGCACTCCAAGGTCTGTTTGTTCGGCAACACTCACCAGAACCTTATCATTAAGTGTATAAGTGCCACCCTGATTTGCCTTACCAAAATTCAGCAGTTTACTTTCACATAGTCCTGATTGTGGGGGTGGCTGTTCTGTTACATTGTTCAATTTTGTTAGGAAGTCATACTGTCAGTTTTCAGGACTGTTGGTCCTGTTTGAGGATGACTTTTTTAAAGGGGGCAAAGAAAGGGGAGAGCAATGGATATAAATTCAATATAAATGTCATTGCCCAATATGATAAAAGAACTACTTTACAAATTTATAATTTGCTTTTTTTTTAATAAACAGGGATGTCAATACCACCATTATGGAACTCCTTATCATGATCTATGCCTGTAAGACCTCATGTGCCAAGAATATCATTGGTGTAATCCCTTACTTTCCATACAGTAAGCAATGTAAAATGAGGAAAAGAGGTTCCATTGTGTCCAAGCTTCTTGCATCCATGATGTGTAAAGCCGGTGAGTTGTGTTTGAGCTGCTTATTCTGCAAAAATAAAAACTGAAGGAACTGCGGATGCTGTAAATCAGGAACAAAAATAGAAGTTGCTGGAAAAGCTCAGCAGGTCTGGCAGCATCTGTGAAGAAAAAAGTCAGAATTAACTTTTCGGGTCCGGTTCTGAGGAAGGGTCGCCGGACCCGAAATGTTAACTGATTTGTTTTTTCTTCACAGATGTTGCCAGACCTGCTGAGCTTTTACAGCAACTTCTATTTTGCTGCTTATTCTTCACTTCTGTTCGATGGCGCTGTACCTGAACTGTGGTGAAGAATTTTGTTTTATTTTTGAAGAGAAAGAGCTTCACTTTTTGCACCTTTGAGACATTAAAAACTAACTTTGCAGCAAATGAATTAAGTGTACTCATTGGTGTTAGGCAAATGCAATACCAAATCTGTTCTCGGCTAGAATCCAGAAACGCAGCACTGGAGTGATGACCAGTTGATCTGTTTTTGGTGACGATCAAGTGATAAATGTTGATCAAACACTGGGTGATCTTCTGAGTTCTGCTTATGCCAATGGAGGCCTTGCATCCACTGAGATGACTGATGGTCTTAATTTTGAATCCTCAACCAAAAGGCAATATGTTTGTCCATGCAGTATTCTGTGTCACATTGATGTCGACCAAGGTTATTTGGTCAAGTCCTAGAACAGTGATAGAATGTCCAGTCTTTGAGTTTGGTGAGAGCAGGGATGGGGTGAGTGGTGGTGGTGGGGGATGGGGGCTAGATGAGAAGATACTTAGGTTTACAAAGCAAAAGGATATGGCATCATTGTAGGGCAACTCTCTTGATAATGATACCCAGAGTGGGGCAGGAAGGGACAGAGCATACAAGCGTAAACATAATAGCAGTTGGAGTCGAAGCAGGGGAATTTGTAAAAAGGCAAATTAATGGATCTTTACTTAAACATGTATTTGGAGCAAAATAAATAAATTAACAGCTCAAATAGAGGTAAATGGGTAATATCTTACGGCTATTATGGAGATTTATAGAAGGGTATCAAAGCTGGGAATTATTCAGGGTTGTGTCTTTTCAAAAGAATGGAGAGGAAGTGAAGCTTTGTTAGTCTGATATGGAATAAGTATGATAGTAAGAAATTATCGAGGATTGGACTTTATAGGATCCATATGGATTGGGATAATAAATAACAAGAGGAAGGTGACAGTGATGGGAGTAGTCTGTAGGCCTCCTGACAGATGTTCCATAGGACATAAGTTTTGTGATAATGGTGTGTTTTAAAAAAATAGCTGTACATTATTCATGGGTGACATTTACTCTTCATGTAGATTGGGAAAATCAAATCGGCAAAATTAGCCGTAAGAAAAAGTTCATATGGTGATATATTTAGGGGATTTTTTAGAACAATATTTTGTGGATCCAACCAGGGATCAGGCTATTTTGCATCTTGTAATGTGTAATAAGGCAGGTTTACTGAGTGATCTGAGTAAAAGATCCTTGAAGGAAAGTGACCATAACATGACAGAATTTGCATTCAGTTTGAGAATGAGAAAGTTGAGTCAGAAACAACTACACAAACTTAAATAAAGGTAATTACATGGGGATGAGGGCTGGAGTGCACTAAGAACAGAATTTAGCAGAAAAGACTGAACTATTAAAGTAGTTCATGACTTGCAGCAAACGTATATCCCATTGTGGAAGAGTTCTAGGAAATAGATAAACTGCCTAAGGTTAACCAAGGAAGTTAAGGATCATTTCAAAATTACAGAAAGACAGCATGCATTGTTGTAAACCAGATGATTGGCAAGGTTTAAAAGCCAGTGGAAGATAGGTGGAGTGAAAGCTGGTGTTGAGGAAGTAGGAAGGCTGCAGAAGGACTTGGACAGGCTAGGAGGGTGGGCAGAGGAGTGGTACATGAAATGCAATGTGTGAAAGTGTGAGGTTATGCTCTCTGGTAGGCAGACTATTTTCTAACAGGGAAAAGGCTTTGGGAATCCTAGTTCAAAATTCCCTTAACATTGTACTTGCAATGTTAACTTTAACGTTCAGATTGAGAGGGCTAAAATACAAGATTTGCTGCTGAGGTTGTTTTAAGGCTGCGGTCAAGACCACATTTGGAATAGTATGAGCAGATTTGTGCCCCATACCTTGGGAAGGATGTGCTGACCTAGAAGGGAGTCCAGAGGAGGTTCTCAAGAATGAACCTGGGAATGAAGAGACTGTCATTATGAGTGGTTGAAGACTCGGGGTCTGTACTGTATGCAATTTAGAAGGATGAAGGGGTATCCTATTGAAGCTCTCAGAATACTGAGATGCCTAGATAGAGTGGACATGGAGAAGATGCTTCCATGAGTAAGAGAGACTCTGACCCAAGAGCACAGCGTCAGAGTAAGAGGATGACCCTTTTTAGAACTGAGATTAGGAATTTCAGTCAGATGAACCTGTGGAACTTATGGCCTCCCTAACCTTCTGTGGCAAAGTAATTGACTTTAAGACAAAGATTAATAGGTTTTGAATAGTAATGGGGTCAAGGATTTTGGGGAGAAGGCAAGAGAATGAGGTTGAGAAGCATATCAGTCATGATTGAATGGCAGAGCAGAGTCGATGGGCTAAATGGCCTAATTCTGCTCCTATTGTCTTATGCTGTTTGTAGGGTCGGTGCAGACTTAATGGGCTAAATTACCTCTTTCTCTACTGTAGAGATTCTATGATTCTGTGACTCTTCATCAGAATCCTAAATGTGTTTATAGTCCTTCTGAAATAATTTTGAGAGTTGTGGTAATCTGTGTAGTCGGGTTGCAGTAGTCAGAAAGTTAGTTAGTGGCTGAAGTTAGTTTTCCAGTATTTTGGTTATCACTTGTATTATATAACTAAGTGCAAAACTATTTCAAAAAATAAACTGCATTATACGGTTGTTGGTTGTATCTTAGCAATTTTTGAAGAATTTAGTCACCTGTTCAGTTGCTGTGACATTGTTCGACTTAGTTCTTGCATATCTACTTTAATATTTCTTACAAATCTCATTTTGTGGAAGTGTGGATTATTTGGTGTTCAGGGATGATGTGCTGCTAAGGTTATATGCAATTTAGTTTACTAGGCAATAAAACTTTAGGTTACAGCGAGAAGTGAGAGTAGGTTGAGATAGTGTGTGGTGAATTGGCTGGTCAACAAATGGGTAAAAGGGAGGTTTCTTCCAAATGAGCTGTTGTCACCTCTATTGAAGCATTATCATCTTCATTTGCAAAGTGTCATATCAAACAAACTTCACTCCTTCATATTCTCTTGAGCATTTTGGGCACAATTTATGTTCTTAAATTTGCAGAGTAAATGTAATAAAAATATGTATAGTATGTATTCATCTTGGGAGTTTCTTTCTCTAAAACATATCTCTTCCCCGTGTTGCTTTTAAACTTTCAAGGGTATTTTGAATGTGAAGACTAAAGAGGGCAAGTGCACTTCAAAAACTAAAAATGTTTTGAAAGAGCAACAATTTCTCTTGGTGAACAAGGTTAACTGACATTATAGTGTGGGATGAATGAAAAGGATTCTGAAACAAGACATTAATTTAACCATGCTTTTAATAAAGCAAGTTCAAGACTAAATTGCTAAATGTTTAGTAATTTGTTGTGTGATTTGATTGCTGCTACTGGGGCACTAAGTGGATAAGAACTCAAGTTGTCGCAGATTTCGTATTTATTTCCACACTCTCCTCAGGCTTGACTCACTTGATTACAATGGATTTGCATCAGAAAGAAATCCAGGGATTTTTCAATATTCCAGTTGATAATCTGCGAGCATCTCCATTCCTCCTACAATACATTCAGGAAGAGGTGAGGTTAATGGAATTATTGACTGACACTGTATGTTTTCAGAGATGAGATGCACTGTTAGCTGTCACCAAAAATGCACACAACTACAGTTACTTGCCTAAATATTTGAGATTCTATACGAAAGCAATGTATATATGGTTCAGTGTTATACTTTAAAAGAAGTTAAATTTGCCAGGGGCTTGTTGTTGCTTTGAATATCAGGAACCGCTTTGAATAAATTTCATTACTATGTTTAACATTTTAGGATCTGTACTGCTTATAAAATGTAGATTTCAGTTTAGCACAGCAATATAGATGGTAGAACCACTTGATTACATATTTGATAATGGTGTGGCATTGCTCGGTATAATTTAGTGCTGAGCGCACATTGAGCTTGCAGAGCCCAGTTTGAGGCTCACCAGTATTAGTCTCTAAGCATTGATGGAAGAAAATGGAGGGGGGTTATATTGTATAAACATTAGCATTCCAGTACTATTTGCTCTACATTTTTGAGTTGTGTTCTTCCAACATCAGCAACTTGGAACAAATTGAGATGAGAGAATCTGTTTTGAGAAAATCACCAAAATGCTGTTGATTTTATCTATTGTGTAGTTTATAAAATTGCTATGAAAAGCACATTGGTGTTGTTGATTTCTAATATAATTTTGGCAATTTGTCATAGTAAGCTAAAACAAAGCTGCTTGTTTTGCTATAGCTGAACTGTCTAAATAGTGCTGACTGAGATATGTGTAGCACTATGAAAATCCAAGGACCAGGTGTGATTTGATATGAGATTAACAGCTGAAACCAGTAACTAAATCTAACATTGATAGTGTTCTCCTCTAATATGTCTATGTTGGTTTTAAAATATTAAACAATTGTTATAATGTGATATGAGCTGAGAGCAAATAATGCTGATGATATGCATGATGGAGTGTAAGGGTTTAAGTAATTCATATTTAACTCTCTCCCTCTCTCTTCCCTGATCGATCGTTCCTTGTGCAGATCCCTGATTACAGAAATGCAGTGATTGTCGCAAAGTCACCAGCATCTGCCAAAAGGTACGCGCGCACCAGAATAGGGACTTCTTTTAATCTATTCATGAGATGTCAGCATTGATGACAAGGCAAGCAATTATTGTCTACCTCTAATTGACTGTGAAGGTCATGGTGAGCATTTGCCTTGAACCCCTGAAGTCCCTGTGGATATAGGTACACCCATATTGCTGTTAAGGAGTCTGTGTTCCAAGATTTTGAGCGATCGATTCCTTGTTACAAGGTTTCAGTATTAAGTTTCCTCTGAATCCTAGCAAAAGAGACAATATTTTCCTCTCCAACATATTCTTTCACTTGTTTCTCCCACACTTTTTTTTTAAGTTGAAAGTTTTGCACTTAAAATGAACATTCCTGTATTGTGTAATGTTACAATAAAGACAATTTCTGTTGGAGAGCTGTTTCTTAAAGACCTGGTCTTTTTTCTATTAAAGAGCACAGTCTTTTGCTGAGCGATTACGTTTAGGAATTGCCGTTATACACGGTGAAGTGCAGGATGCAGAGTCAGATTTAGTTGATGGCCGGCATTCACCACCAACAGTGAAAAATGCAGCTGCTATACACCCCAGCCTGGAAATACCTAGTAAGTTGATGGTGTCATATATTTGTTATTTTTGTTGTGCAAATTGAATGCTAACACAAATGAACCAATACCTTAGATAAATGAAATAAAGCTCTGTGATTCTATTTTAAAAAGGTGGATTAATGTTATTCTTCCAGCCAGGTTCTCAATATGTTAAAAGCAATTTTTCATTTAAGTTTAAATGCTGCTTTCACCAGGCTGTTTTGTTTATTGCTAACTGTACAGTGGTGTTGATCGGATATGAAGAGTTAAAGACATTGCCATATGCTTTGTATTGTTTGTATTTCTAATTATACCTTAATTCTCACTTTACTTTTAATCGCAGACTCTGCCTAATAATTTTCAGTGAGAGGTTTGTTTGCAAATGAATTGCTTGCTTCTATTGAAATGAGCTTATGAGTGTAACAGGTGTGATATCTTGATTTTTTTTAATTTTTCGTTCCATCAGTGGCGATTCCAAAGGAAAAGCCTCCAATCACAGTTGTTGGAGATGTAGGAGGAAGAATAGCTATTATTGTGGTGAGTTTACCCTTGAAAGTCTTGGTAGACATCAACACTATACATAATGGGGAAATGTTTTACTTTAAAATACTAGTAAGGAAAGATCTTTTGTTTTCGTGAAATATTTTCAGAGGTTTGCTGAAAATGTAAAATAGTAAAACAGGTTACTAACTTTTTTAAAGCAGCTTTTAAATAGGATATGCAGCACAAGAACAGACCTTTTGGTTCAGCCAGTCCATGCAGGTATTTGTTTAATTTGGGCATTTTCCCCTTCTGCAAATTATTTGGCTTCCCCTTAATAAATGCATCTATACTATTCAACTCAATTACTCATGCGGAAGAGGGTTGCACATTGTCGTCACTGTCTTTTGGTAAGGAAGCTTTTTCTCAATTCTTAAATTACTAATTAGACATTTCTTTAAATTGTGACCTACACAGCATTGTTGAGATGGAAAAAGTTTAATGCTGGAAAACGAGATGGTAAGTGATATTAGATAGTACAGAAGTACCAATATGTCCAAACTTGAAAATTCCTGTTTTCTTAAAAAGGCACTCATTTGCAAAAATACTAAAAGCAAAGTAGATGGAGACTTTTAAAATAAGATGGCTTTTAACTTCTGAGATTAAAAGTCAAGTCAATTTGATCTTTTATGTTAATATGAACAAATAATAATTTTATCCTCAAACCCCTCATAATGCAGCAATTCCAGAATAAATATACATTTCTTCAAGGTTAGTTGCACTTTATTAGTGAATTTAGTGAGTCAAATTAATAATTGCCACTCTTGATTTATAACTCTTGCAATTTTTAATATTGCAGTGAGTGTATGTTGATTAAGGTCAGAAGCAGAATTTCAGCGTTTTGGAACGTCTAGATTCATTAAGCTAGGTTTTTTCATGAAGGCTACAATTGCAGTAAAAAAAATTTTATAACTTCAAGGATTAGTCATTCAAACATTTTTATTACCTTTTGATGTAAATCATGGGTTTCATTCACATGAATTTGATTTAAAGCTTGAAGTTGGTGATAAAGCCTCTAATTCTTCATGCTTGTTTGTAAACAAACAAGTTCACTTTGTTAACATTCAGACTTCACTGTATACTGGCACTGAACCAATGAGGTCCTTTGTGTTATTCATTATTCTATATTAGTAACAATAAAGTCGCTGTTCTTTGCCAAATCAACAGAACTATAATTGGCTATTCATCGGAGTAAACTAATTGTCAGTATCTTTTTCCTTCAATTTGTTTGAGCAGAGGGGCACAGAATGTTCAGTTTTTAATGCTGACCAGTATTGACATGCAAAATGTCTGCAAAGCCAGCACCTTCTTTCATGTAAGGGGATGATCAGTGCTTCTTGCTATCACCCTTAAATAATCTAGTGAGAGTAGAGAAATATGAAAGTGAAGGTTAGCCTGGGGATTTTGTAAACAAAATCCTAATTGTAGCCTTGAGATTGCCTATTATCAAATTGATTTAATATTTAAAAATTGGCAGGCTATCTATTTAGCTTGTAAACAACAAGCTTGTTTTGTAAATGAACTTTGAACTCTTGTCATTTTATTTTAGAGAGATCGTATGGATCTTTAAACCACCAAGTCCTGTCAATTGAAGTTCCTACTGTGCTGCAAAAGTTTACATGAACCTTACTGTTGAGCATCTGAAGTTATGCTCTAGAGCTCTAGAGTTATGTTTGCAGTTTCCTGGATCAGTCACTTTTGATGTTGGTTCCAAATGATGAGTTCCAAATTTGTGCCTTAGACTGTTTTCTGTGTGTTTAATATTGTCCCAAACGTCTTTCAGTTAGGCATTCTTCAGTCCACAGATAGAGAGTGCCTTTGTGAGTCATTTTAAACTTCTGTATCAGGATTGGAAGAAACGTAAGCCTACGCGTAATTTGTCAGTCATACTCCTGCTAATGATGGAAACAGGCCCTCTGGAAAATTGGAGTTGCATGTAAAGCTGCAGTGAGATCACTTATAGACACTTTTTGCACTTCTTCTCAGCAGAGGATGTTATTGTGCTCCAGAAACAAAATATTGTTCTTGTCCCTTCAGTTAAGCTTACTTTTTTAAACTGAAATCAAATTTACTAATAGACTATTTTTTAAAATTTGAATTTTTGACAGGATGACATAATTGATGACGTTGATAGCTTTTTAGCAGCTGCAGATACATTGAAGGAGAGAGGGGCTTACAAAATCTATGTAATGGCAACTCACGGGCTTTTGTCATCTGATGCACCCAGATTGATAGAAGAATCTGCAATTGATGAGGTAACAAAAGTCTGACAACAGGTAGTTGATATTGAATTCATATTTATAGACTTTTTCTGTATTTATTGAACAAAAGTGTAATTTATTCCCTATTGTTGGAAAATACATTTGTTGAGGGGCAAGGAGAGGAAGCCATTCTTTATTACAGCTTGCTATTTAACAATGCAGACTTGTAAATTATTAGCAGAGATCTGATATTGAATTACCATTTTCCTGTTAATTATAGACTCTGCTCTTCTGCAGGTGGTAGTAACCAATACAATCCCACATGAAATCCAGAAACTCCAGTGCCATAAAATAAAGACCGTTGACATCAGCATGATCTTATCTGAGGCCATTCGAAGAATCCACAATGGTGAATCAATGTCATATCTATTCCGAAATATTGGTATGGATGATTGAAATGATCCCTAAGGCCACCTTGAAGTGCACCTTTACTTTACTTGGCAAGAAAATGTCGTGATTCACTGGTGCAAAATCTTAAGTTTCTATCAAAAAGGCCAACTTTGTAAAGTGAATTTTTAAGTAACCTTGCTGAATATGGAGACTTAACTGCGTAATACTTCAGATTTCCTTTGCTGTTTTGTAAAAGCTAAGAAGTATGACCAAAATCCCTGTTTGTTTTAATTGCTTTTGTATTTAGGAGTATTGTATTATGTTTTGCATGTCTTGGCTACATATTTGCTCTTGAAGATAACCTGCTCCAAGCTAAAAGATGGCAGCACAAAAAAAAGGAATAAACATAAGCACCTGAAATAGCCAACCTGAATTGTGCAAACTTGCTATCTTGTGACTATATTTCAATATTCTTTATTGATATAAAGCACTTTGGGATGTTTTGAGGTTATGAAAGGTGCTATATAAATGCAAGTTCTTTGTATAAACTGGGTTTTTTTGATAAGTAAATGTTACATATTGCAGATAGTGAATCAGTTGAATAATTAAATTACTTGGTTTTTCCTTTTCTCGAAGGTATAAATTTTAAATGATCTATCTAGCTTTTAACCCATTTTGAAAGTCTTTAAAAGTTTTTTTTAAAAATTATAATAAAATATTGCCATCCTTTCCAGGATTATCCTGATGAACCTCCTGCTTAGTGCTGCATTTTCTTAAGAAGCGCAGTTCTACAACTAACATGGTCCTCAATTATTAGTCATGCACTCAGAATCTTGCCTTTTTGTGCATTTGGCCCTGGGGCATTGGAATCAGTTTGTTTTCTTACAATGTAATTGACCATGCACTAGACAAAATGCTGATAACAGCTAAGAGTGGGATAGCTGATTATACATCCTTTCTTCCCTCTGCAGCCCAAGGACATTGGGAGCAATTGTGATGATTACTACCTGCTAACATCACATTCTGTAGAAACCTTTTTAATCATATTGCTAAATTCTACACTGTAGTTTCTTTAAAAAACTGCACCATGTTGGGAGCTGTTCATTTTGTTTCCAAACTTTATTTTCTATATCACTCATGGCAAAATTGTGGAGCTGCAATTTTCAAAGTCTTTAAAATCTGTACAACCATTTAATTTGTGCAGGAGGATAATTTCTAGAAGGAATTATTGGTTTTGTGGCATAAGTTGGGAAAACAGTTACATAGTTTTGTACTTGGTTGTGTAGATGCCAATTCATACATCAATGCAAGATCGGTGCAAAGAGCCTAAAATGTACTTGGTTACTTTTGACATTGAATTGCTGTTTGTCATTTTGGTAAGTTGGTAGCTTTGGATTTTCCTTCTAGAAGTGTAAGATGGTGAAATAACTCAACTCATTTATCATGCATTAAGTATCCTTTCCTGTAAGAATACTAGTCAGTTTTGTGAACTAGATCTATTAACATTGACAAAATGTGAGATCAGTTGGCTTAGGTAAGTTTCAGTTTGTGTTGGACTGCTTCAATGAACATGCAATTGAATTAATGAAATAATCAGTCATCAATTTAAACAAGAAATGCACAGCAGATCAGTCAGCACCTGAAGAAGAAATTAACACTTGGTTACAACCATGTCAACACAAGGAATAAGAGTTTTTGTTGAAGATTAGTTATTCTAAAGGGAATTTCTTTGTACTGTAATTTTTCTATTCTTTTTCCATGGTTTGCAAAGATCTGAGACCAGGTAGTAAGATATGATTTGCTTGCAGTAGTAAACATGGCTAACATGCTGCCTTTTTTAAAAAATATCTAATGGACATTTTAGGATAAAAAACTACTTGCAGAGCCATGAATCTTTATTGTGGCAGTCTATTTGTGAAACATTAATGAAGCAGAAGTGGACTTTGGTGTTATTCTACAATATTATTTGATTCCTTGATGGAATTATATTTGTAACATAATGAGACTCTAGTATTAAATTTAGTTAAATTGCCATTTCCAGCCCAGGAATAAGTCTTGACCTCAAGTCTTCCTAATTACTACATAAGAATTTTCTTTTCCCCAAGCCCTACACCAACCATTCTGGAATGGAATTACTGTTGATTGTTGTCAATTTTCACCATTAATAGAGATCACATTGGGAAATTGAATGCAGTGGCCCAGTACACTTTAGTGAAGAGGAAACAGGTACATCTCTGGATCTTGTGTTAGTTTCACTCTTGGTCAGAAACTGAGTATGTGCGGCCTTGGAGCATCAATCAATGTACATGTTCTTGACTTAACTAGACAGATCAGGATCTGCTGCCTGTACCCCACACTACCTGGTTAATAAGAAGCTGGCTTGGTCTTAAGTCCTGTGAAGACTTTTTCCCTATCGTTCTCATTTTAATGAGTATCTTTCCTCCCTGACTCCTACCATCACTTAAAATGAGCAGTTTTTGGGCAAGGCCATATCATTCCGAAACTTTGTCTCCCAGCAGCTTGTAAGCCATAGGCTTGTCATGCTTCTTCTGTAAGGAGGTGGATTGGGAGCCTTTGGTGCCTCTGTTAATAATAAAAAATCTTCTGTGATCTTGTCCATTGTTACATGGAGAGACAGATGTGTCTTTTGTCTGTGTTTAGTTGTAACAAGCTATATTCGCTATCTTGGGAGCAAATAGGATTAATGGGCATCTTATCTCATAATCATGAGGGAACAGCACCATCCTCTGGATGATTTAAAAATAGCAATCGTATTACACAATAGGTAAGAAAGATAATATTGAAGTGTTACCAATGCAGTGATGTATATTTTAGAACTTGTCACAGTTGGCTATCAGATTGAAAATGTTACACTTTCTATTCTGACAGGCAAAAACAAATCAAAAGCAAACTCAATAAAAATGACTGTCTTTGCAAATGTTGATCATAGGCAAAGCTGGAGATTTGCTACAGAAGCTGCTGATCATAAAAAATTTCAGAGGTCATCCCTGAATTGATTTCAGAGTATTTCATAAGAGAAATTGGCATCAAATTGTCCTTTGGATCTATTTATAAAAGTTACATTTATCCTTGGAAGAAATTGGTTTTGCTAATAACATGAAGAACTGTGTATTGTGGCATACTACTACATCTATGACAAAGCAAATCCTCCGTCTTGCCATGAGCATGGCTACAGAAGTTCCTTTATTGCAAACAAATATCAATTATATCAATACAATAAATGCAGAAAGCTTATCTAGCTGTCTATTGATTCTTTCATCCGATTTAAATGCCTGATACTTGGAGTTAACTATTAAAACAATGCTGGCATATATTTGCACCTTGTGGTGTTTCTTGTCATCAGCTGTCTGGTTCACTTTTCACCAGATAGCATGAAATTCTTGTCTGGCTTCTGTATCTTGGAAAATGGCTCACTGCAAATTGTATGTGCACTAATCCATGTTCAAAGTTTTTATAAGTGACTTTCCCTTAGCAGGATGCAGGTCCGTTTTTAAAATGGGCACATTTGGGACTTTCCATACCTGATGCAGTTCTCCGCGCTGGTGAAAGGGTCCAATGTTAAATCCAAACATGCTTTTAATTGCTATACAAATATTTTTCACAGCTTGCCTTGTGCTTGGAGGAGGTTACTTGTCCATTGTCTGTTTATGCTAAACCTTAAAGTTGTTTGTTTAAAACTTCTTCAGGGGAAAAAAAAATCAATATCCAAGTCTGCCTTTCTTTAATCAACATTGCGTAAAATCCTTATTTTTTTCTTCCCTTTTCTGCATGAAATGAATTTTTTTGGGCTGGGATTTGCATGCTTCTCTTCAGCGTTTCTTCTCACGTTTTAAATTTTTGAATATTGTTCTCAAAATCCACACTCCTGTTTTCACATAGGAAATCTAGCTCATTTAGAGACCCTGAAGGTACTATTTGTACTTCAAAATTGAAGAGCTAGAGTGCAAATGTCCAAAAATAAGTTGCAAATTAATAATAAATTTTTTTTAGGTGTTATTACAATAGAGAATGTAATGAAAGATTCATGATTGTAAATTGTCATGTGCAATTGTGCAGATGAAATTGGCAGTCTTTTGAAAGTAACTTTTTTATTTTGTGTGTTTTGTTCTTTTTTTTTCTCTCTAAACTTCAGGAAGGTTTCCTGATTAATGGTCCAGTGACCATTGAGACAGGTAGACTTTTTGTGTATGTATGAGGTAACGTTGCTGAAGAGTGGACCTCAGGGATCGCACCAAAGACACCCCTGCTCCCGTCATGTACAGCATAGTAATGTCTCCACCTCAGAAGAGAATTCAAAACCAGAGCGTTCCCCTGGCTTTCTAATAGATTGAGTGCTTCACCAACTGTGCCCTGAACCAGTTTTATAAATATCTTGTTTGCGTCTTAACCTGCTAAATGTGTGATCAACTGCAGACAATGCAAACACTCTTTGGAAAAAAGAAAGCTGGTTATTATATTTCTCTGATAGAACTGTATAATTGAATAAGACCAGAGACTATCATGAGAAAATAGGCTTGGCATGTTGCATACTTTTGGGTTTTTATATAATTTGATTCCCAATTGGGTGGTAAGTGTATTCACTGATAAAAGTATGTATTGACTGGTTTAACCGTTTTAATTTTTTAAATGTTATATTAAGTAATTGGCAGTGGAAGTAGTACAGTGTTTACCATTACTTGATAGTTATAATTTGCTTGATTTTGATTATTTATTACAGTGCAAATGTGTCAATTTAAAAAGTTTTACTCTGCCATTTCTTCCTGACTTCCCAGCTTTAAATCGGGCATTGTTTTAAATGTATTTCTTCCATTCTGTTTAATCAGTGAAACTGGCTGGAAGGACTTGAGAAACCATTGATCAAGTTCTGTTAACATCAGTAGTGATAGTCATTGATCCAAAGACTTTGAAGCTTCATTTTCAGCTTTGTATCTTTTGAGTGTTTATGCTTGTCCATCCAGTTTCAGTAATGTGATTACTGCTCCCCTGTTTAAGGCAATCATTCAAAATTTAAAAAAAAACACAAATGGGCAGAGTAAAAGTATTGCAGCTTTTTTTTAATGGCAGTTTGCAGTAGGACTATTGCTGGAAAACAAATTGAGGTTGTTCATATTCTTTTTATGTAGGACTGATAACATCAGCTTGAAGAGAGATTTTGCCTTTGAGCCTGGGCAAAATCAACACCAAGGTCCCTGAAGTAAAAGGACATGGTCTTTCTTGCATAATGCTCCATCTCTAGCCAATACTGCTGTGATAAAATCTAATAAAGCTTTAATAGGGAAGATGAATGCTTTTAATTTATTTATTTTTAGATTTTGATGTCTTTGTATATTTATAATAGAAATTTAATCATTATACTTAGCTTTGCAAAGGTCTGCAAAATACTGGAAATTACTATTAAAGATTTCTGTGCACTTGCCCATCTGTTACTTTGCAATGGGTCACAAGGCCATGTTTCCACAGATTATTGGTATTCGTTTGTAAGTCATGCATTTAGCTGAAGTGTATCAACGTTAATTAAACATTTGGAGAAAAAAAGCACAAAATTGCAATGTGTGAGGATTCTTTTAAATACATATGTGTAAGATTTTATAGTGTGAAAAATTTGGAATAAGACAGCACTTTTGTGCTGGAGGTTTACTTAAAGGTTGTATACTATCTGCAGATAAAAATAACTTTCAGCTTTTGAAAATTTTTAAACTGTTACAGTTTAATTTATGCTTATCAATGTAATGCCCTAATTACATTTTTTAAATGTGGAAAGTGGGTCTTCACTGATTATCCGTAAATTTCACTTGTGTGATTAATATGCAATAATGCATATTTAAAAGCTGGATTTCAGCTATAACTTTGTTCTGGCAAACTTTTTAAAAATCATTTTTGTGCATAAATAGCCTTTTTTAAAAAAAAAATATCTACTTTTGAACTGTTATTTGTGAGACCTTTGTGAACTGTTGCGGTGGTGTTCAAAATTTTGTCAAAGCCGCACTAACCACTTTCTGTGTAATTTTTTTGATATTTTTGGGCTTGCCAGGTTTGTAGGAGGGGAAAATGTTTGTTTCAATGGGTTCAATTTTTTTTTCACAATTCCACCAGGTGTTAATAGATTTATTTCAGGTAAAGCATAAATGCTGAAAAAATGAACCAGGTTTTTTGGTTGGTGCAATATGTCTTTTGCTGCTGACCTGGAAAAGAACTGTCCATTAAAATCTAGTGATCCCTATGGCATTGCTTTTACCCTTCTGCTAATATCTGATTGAAACTAAAACCAAGTCAAGGGGAAAATGTGTCATCAAGGTAAATAGTCAATAACATTTAAATTCCCTCCGTCAGCAAACCAGGAAATAAATCTAATTTGCATTATCTCAGAAGTTAAGAACTTGGCATTAAAATGTCAGTTAAAATGTATTTCAACAAAGTGCAACTTTTGCAAGATTTTTGTCCTTCTTACACAAGTAATCTAATTATGTAATTTGTATTTGAGTGCAGCCTTGGTGGAACTTTCATATCAGAAGTAAATTTTAGATTAGATTGCCTACAGTGTAGAAACAGGCCCTTCAGCCCAACAAATCCACACCGACCCTCAGAGAATCCCACCCAGACCTATCCCCCATAACCCACCTAATCTACACATCCCTGAAACACTACAAACAATTTAGCATGGCCAATCCACCTAACCTGCACATCTTTGGACTGTGGGAGGAAACTGGAGCACCCGGACGAAACCCATGCAGACACGAGGAGAATGTGCAAACTCCACACAGAGCGTCACCCAAGGGTGGACTCGAACCCAAGTCCTTGTGCTGAGAGGCAGCACTGCTACCACGCCACCCCTATCACTGACAGCAACTTCTGTCAATTTCAGAGGAGTAATGGTGCAGGCTCTAGGAATTTTAAGTTTTTGTTTTTTTGTTTTTTTTTCTTTTATTGGTAAGGGTTTCTTTTTCTTCATATGACCATTATAACAACAACAGGCATAGACTATGTTCTTAGTGAAATAACATTGGCAGTAATGTAAACAGTAACAGCTTGCATTTATATAGCACCTTCCAACATGGCTTCACAAGCCTTATCAGCTAAAACTGAACAATGAACTTTATGCAGGGATAATGGAGCAGATGACTAAGAATTTAGTCAAATATTTGAGTTCATGTCTGGTGCATCAGTCCAGGTCACCAGATTACTCTCAAAATTGAGTCTGATGTCATCCCCTATGTAGTGTGTATATATGATTTGAAACACAAGGTGCGGGGAGAACATCCTGAAATTTAGCCATCCTGACATTCTGAAAAGAAAAATACATGCATATCTCCTTTCTCTCAACTTCAGTTGACTATGGCTTTGGTGTTGTTAAAATATTGTCATAACTGACATGGCTACTGAACATCACTGCATGCACTTTTTCAATGGAGATGGAATTTAGCAATGTGGTTTGACCACTTAGGAAGCCTGGATCATCAATTTATGACCATGTCCAATGAAGTTATTCTAACATATAAAAGGTGAGATTTTGATGTAACTAGCAACAATTTGGCTCAATTAATTGAGTCTTTCTCAGCTGTTCTGGGGCAATTCGCAAAATTGAAGAGGAATATAAACAAAAACTCTGGGAATTGTGACAGTAGAGGGGGAGACCAGGGCTCCAGACTTGTATGGGCTGCTCGTCAATGGCTTCGTGCAAATCAGACCTAACAGGTAAATTACTAGGTATTTACATCCAGCGTCTCTGAATTTCACTTTTTTTTTCCTGTAATGCCTACATTATTATCACTGCACTAAAGTTTTCCAATAGGTACAAACAATTTGAGGGTTTAATTTTATTGAGCAGAATAATAATCCTAAGGGATGTTCCGTCCCACTTGCATTAGCATTATTTACTGACTCTGAAGTGTCATCTGGCTCTACAATTTTAATCCAAGTTTTTCCTGCATTCTGGTAAGATTTGATTTGCAATTATTTGATAATGTCCAAGTTCACGAAAGGTCCATAGTAAATTAAATACTCCAATTGCACACAACAAATATCACAACTTTCATCCCTGGTTTGTATTGCTTTGGGTTGAACTGGAGGGCATATTGCAATTTGCGAATATTGATGCAGGAGTGGGCCATGCACCATATGTGCCTTTTGTTTCATTCAATTAGATAATCTTATTCCAGGACATGATCACAAAAATCAAGGCAGACTCTCCAGTGCAATACTGAACAAATGTGCCAGTGTTGGTGGTGTCTTTTTTTGAAGAAGAAGACTTTAAAACAAAGGATAGTCTGACTTCTCAAGTGCAAGATTCTATTTAATGATTTTGAAGAAAGCCAGCAATGTTGTCCAGGCCAATATTCTTAATAGGTATCAAATACGTTATCTAACTATTAACACACTTGTTATTTGTACTATGTAAGATGACGAGCACATTTCTTCAACAGTGACTATATTTCAAAAGTAATTCATTGAGTGTAAAATGCTGATATATCCAGTGATTATGAAAGGTGCATAAGTGCAAGTCTTTTTCATGACTGTTGATTTGTATCTCAACTCCATTTACCTGTCTGTACCATAATACTCCAGTTACACTTGAAAATGGATAAGATCTTTATGTACCATTTTTGATATTTTTAATTGCCTCCCTGAAGGCACAGTAGCAGTTTATTTGGAGTGACTTTTCGGGTCTTCATGGCCATTTGCATGAAGAAATGTTTCTTGACATTGGCACTGAAAAGCTTAGTTTTAATTCTGATCTGGAATTTGTGCTGTAGTTACTAACATATAGTGAGAATATAAAATCAACAATTATTACACCATTCACACTATAGGAAGTAGTTTGGTTGTCTGTATGTACACATTGCATGAGAATAAAACTAGTCAAATTCAGCCGCGATAGTTCCTTTCTACTCGTTCTATACTTTAAGGTTCTGTTTATGTTGTCTTGGCTCGCAAGCAGAATGCCTACTTGAATGTAACAGGCATCAATGGAAATATATGCCAGTGTGAGCTGTTTCTTTTTTAAATAAGTATTGTCTTATTGTTTAATGAGTTTGCTGTCTCTGGTAGATCAAGGGAACTGTCCAATGGCACCAAATTTCCAACATACCAAAGATGCAGGTCCAAAGACTTGACCAGAATTCAATGAATGACGAAAATTGTGTTGTGGAGCAGTTAAGCAGCACACTACAGAGAGTTGATTGCTTTTGTAGCATTAAATTTTCTGGATTAAGTTGCACTTTTATAAGTGGAGCAGAAAAATGAAGGAATTTGGAGATTAATAAAAGACCATTTCATCTAACCATATGTCCAAGTGCTTATTGTGGTAAATTTAGAAGTTTTTTTCTTCTATTTTTCTCAAATGGTATTTGATTTTAGAGAGCTGTTTACAGATATTAAAAAAAATTACAAAATACCTTTCAGCTTAGCTGTGCATAATTCAAGCTGTGATAAGCACGTTTTCTGTTAATCATGTCTGAGGCTATAAAGTGACCAGCTGGCAGATTGTTATACTGTTTGCTTACTGACTGACATACCTAGTTGGCTTCTATTTGTTATGCATTAAAATGTAGGCCTTTGAAAATGTTGGCTTTAATGGCCAGTTGTCCCCTAAATATGTTTAGTATTGCAAAGTCCAACGTCTCTTTAGATTTAGAAGAGGCTATGAATGGGAAATGCATTTAACAATAACTTGTGTCAGATTTGAATGAATGACCCGTTTCCTCATACATCAAGGTGTAGAGCTGGATGAACGCAGCAGGCCTACGCCTTGTTATCTCAGATTCTCCAGCATCAGCAGTTCCTACTATCTCTGAACCATTTCCTCATGTCCACCTCCCCCTCTACCCAACCAATTTAGTTTCTGATTCCCTGCAAGTGCACTGTTTAACATTAACCTCCTGATGAAAGGAGTTTTTCCCAAGATTATTTCACGTTTTGTTTCATGACCTTTACATACTTCCAACCTGCAGACCTAGGAAGAATGTAGAAGTTTTGGAGAGGGTTCTAAAGTGGTTTGAGATAGCAAGAACTGCAGATGCTGGAGTCAGAGATAACGAAGTGTGCAACTGGAGGAATACAGCAGGCCAGGTAGCATCAGAGGAATGTGAAAGCTGACATTTAGGGTTGGGACTCTTCTTCTGAAGAAGGCTCCCAACCCAAAACGTCAGTTTTCCTGCTGCTATGATGCTGCCTGGCCTGTTGTGTTACTCCAGCTCCACAGTTTGTTACCAGGAAGTTGTGTGGATTATAATACAATTTTTTTGTTGCAAGTGTACTAGCTATAAGGAGAGGTCGGACAACTTTGAATTGTTTACGCTAGAGCATCGGAGGCTAAGGACCAGATAGAAGTATATAAAATTGAGAGGCATGGATGGGGTGGATAGTTGGAGTCCTTTCGTTACCCCCAGGGGGAAAGTGTCAAATCAGGGGACATAAGTTTTAAAGTGAGAGGGGGCAAGTTTAGAAGAGATCTTGCAAGGCAAGTTATCTTGCACTGGATGGGAAGTCCCTGGAGCATGCTGCTGGGAGAGTATACTCCACATGCTTATAGATGCCTGGAGACACAATGTAAGCAGATGAAATAGCAATGTTTAAGAGCTGGTGGTATCTCTCTGCATTGCAAATCAGCTGTCCAGCCAACTGAGCTAAACTAGTCTCCCTTCTAATCTTTGCAGCTTCTTCAGTATCCCTAATCAATCTGTTCTGAGATATTATTACATGCCTCTAGAGTAGAATCTCTATAGTGTGGGAAGTAGACAGTTTGGCCCATCGATTCCATACCAAAAAGACATCCCACCCTATCCCCGTAACCCTGCATTTCTAATGGCTAATCCACTTAGCCTGCACATCTTTGGATGGTGGGAGACAGACAAATGGAGAACATGCGAACAGACAGTCACTCGAGGCTGGAATCAAGCCCAGATATCTGGTGCTGTGAGGCGGTAGTGCTAGCCACTGAGCCATCATGCTGTCCCCTGGACCAGGTGGGGGCTTGAACCTAGACAACCTGATTTTCAGTCAGGGACACTACCACTGCACTATAGAGAGCTCTTGTGCTATGTATTTTGAACAGCACGATAATCGAACCAATTGTTATACAAGGGACAGAACATTAAGTCTGAAATAAAGGCTAAAAGTACTGACAACACACAACAAATAGGTCACCACCTTTAAAGACTATGTTACATTAGCATACAGCCTCCATTGAGAAAATCTTTTTTTTCATGTCAGAGTGGCAACCTCTACATCCAAAAAAAGTTGCATGGTTAGCAACAAACCGAAAACATTGTCGAAGTTTTCTCTAGTTAATAGATAATGACAGTCATGTGGAAACTGATGCATCAAGAGTGAAAAGCAAACTCGAAGGTTGTTTGTTAATGGTCTAATGCACTTTTCCTTGTGTTTACAGGGATTCCTGTCACAGTGGTTAAAAGCTTTGCTTTTTAAATTGAAGAACAAACATCAATTACCACATAGATGGCACCTACTTCTGTTGCAATGGGTCATTGTTTTAATGTGCGACATTTGATTAATGTTCATTTTTTCATATGTTAACCAGTAACTCCACTGGTGAGCAAATTCGTAGTATGTTCATACAGCTTCAACAGGCACAAACTCAAGGGAAGGGATGGAGAGGAACAGAACTGGCAGCTATCATCTCTCTGCTCAGTCCTTCAGTATCTCTGACATTATAGTCATCGTGGCATATTTTGTGCTGAACGTATTTGTTGGAATATGGGTAAGTATTTGCCCTAACTTTCTTATTGCTGTCAGCTACGGATTTGTTGCCAATTGCTTACTAATCTTTGCGCTCTGCTTTAACTTTGTCCTGTTAGCAGCACCTGTCCTATTGACCAAATAGGGAACTATCAATTAAATCTGGATTGTTGATTTATTGTGAGATTTGTCCATCTGGATATCAGATGTACCTTAGTAGAAGGGACCTTAGATGTTGAATTAGCTTTGTACTTGGTAAGGTTTTCTTTCATAGACTTGTACTAGGGAACTTTCAGACAAAATGCACAATAAATGCAATCACAGTCATTTCAGATTCAGTGAACCATCATTCAATTTTCTGTCTTTATATTTTCTACGCATAGAGTCAAGAGTCACAGAGCACAGGAGCAGACCCTTCAGTCCAACCAGTTCATGATGAACATAATCCCAAACTAAACTAGTCCCACCTGCCACCTCTTGGTGCATATCCCTCCAAACCTTTCCCTTTCATGTACTTATCCAAATATCTTTTAAATGTTGTAATTGTACCCACATCCACCACTTCCTGGGGATGTTCATTCCACCCTCAATGTAAAAGATGTGCCCCTCATGTCTTTCTTAAATCTCTCTCTTACCTTAGATCATAGAGATGTTCAGCATGGAAACAGATCCTTCACTCCAACTTGTCCACACTGACCAGACGTCCTAGATTAATCTAGTCCCATTTCCCAGCATTTGGCCCATATCCCTTTAAACCCTTCCCATTCATATAACACATCCCGATGCCTTTTAAATGTTGTAATTGCACCAGCCTCCACCACTTCCTCTGGCAACTCATTCTGTACATGCACCATCCTCTGTGTGAAAATGTTGTCCCTTAGGTCCCTTTGAAATCTTTACCCTCTCACCTTAAACCTATGCCCTCTAGTTTCGGATTCTGCTACCCTGGAGGTATAGACCTTGGCTATTCATCCTATCCATGCCCCTCATGATTTTATAAACTTCTATAAGGTCACCCCTCAGACTCTGATGCTGCAGGCAAAATAGCCCCAGCCTATCAGCCTCTCCCTATAGCTCAAACTCTCCAACCCCAGCAACATCCTTGTAAATCTTTTCTGCTCTCTCTCAAATTTCACAATTTTCCTATAATGGGGAGACCAGAATTGAACACAGTATTCTGAAAACAGCCTAACCAGAGTCCTGTACAGCCGCAATATGACCTCCCAACTCCTATACTCAATGCACTGACCAATAAGGGCAGGCCCACCTTCTTCACTACCCGCAACTCCAGTTCAGAGATGTTATTAGTCATCTCTGGAGTAGGTAAGACTTGAACCAAGGCCTCCTGGCTCAGAGGTAGTGACATTATCACTTTACCATGAAAGACTCTTAATTTTCTATCTTTATACCTGATATGCTTAAAATACCTTTCTGCATCTCCAGTATATGGAAAGCTTTGACACTAATATTTTTAATCTTTGAAGCCATTGGGAATGTAATTGGTATTTTTTACTGTTCAGGCTTCGACAATTGAATTTGTTTTAATTGTTCCATCCACCAACAAAGTATCAGAGCTAGACTAAAGTTCATATGTTGCACAACGTCCTTCTGCTAAATGTTTCCCTTTGAAACTACTGGAAAGAAACTGCCTTGTCCTCCAGTTTCTAAATTATTTAAAACTGCTGCCAGTGGCTACAGCACTTGTGTCAAATTCAGGGCATCCACCTCTTTGAAGAGTTCATGGTGGCTTTAATATAATTTTTGTGCCAGAAAGAGAAATATAGAATCATGAAACCGTACAGCACAGGAGGCCATTCAGCCTATTTGTTCATTTGCTGTCTTATTGAGAGAGTACTCAGTCATGCGTAGTCTACTATCCTCACCTTTTCTCTGAAATTTATATATTCTCAACTATATGTCTTTGCAAAGTTATTATGCACCAATTTTTTTTTTGGTAGAGCTTTTCCAGAACCCAACAACTCTGGGGTTAAATAAACAATTTCCAAATCTCACCAATGATTTTAAATCTATAACCTCTGGTTATTAATCCTCTGACCTGAGCGTATAATTGTTCTTTACCTTCTACTTTCATTTTGCTGTCTCATGATCTAGGGCTTTCCTGGTTACCCAATACACCCAGTGACTTTTGCATCAAACAGTGAATTAACTTTGTTCTTGCTTAACTAGAGGGTTTGGGATTTAAAATGAATTAGCTTTATGAATGAGTGAATTAGCTTTATTGTCACATGCACCCAACTGAGTGTAGTGAAAGGTTTATAAGTCGTCACTTACGCACCATCTTATGTAAAAAGGTACCGAGGTAGAGCACTTTAGGTTACAAGATTAGTTACGGTGTAACAATGTCGCCAACACATGGTGTCATCTTAGGTACAGTGTATCTGGGTACGATCTTTAAGTTACAGAAAAAAAGTTACATTACAGCAATACATACTATAACCAAAAGTCAGAAAAATGAGAAGTAAAGTTAAAAAGAGAAACAGCACAGACACCCTCCATGGGCTTGTCGTAGCAGACCAGCGACAGGGACCTCAAAGTCCCTGACTGCTGGCTACAGTCACACTTTGTGCTGGGCCAGTGCCCCTTCTCCGCGTGGGGCCAGTGCCCCTTCTCCGCGTGGGGCCAGTGCCCCTTCTCCGCGCGGGGCCACTGCCGAACCACTCTGCGCGGGGCCACTGTCCCTACTCCACGCGGGGCCACTGCCCCTTCTCCGCGCGGGGACACTGCCGAACCGCTCCACATGGGGCCACTGCCCCTTCTCCGAGCGGGGCCACTGTCCCTTCTCCGCGCGGGGCCACTGCCGAACCACTCTGCGCGGGGCCACTGCTGAACCGCTCCGCGCGGGGCCACTGCTGAACCGCTCCACATGGGGCCAGTGCCCCTTCTCTGCATGGAGCCGTTGTCCTCACTCCGTACGGGGCCACTGCCCCCCACTTTGCACTGGGTTCGCTGGTGGCTGGCGTTCCTGCTTCAGGCAGCCAACCGCTGAACCTGCTTTGGAGGCCGGAAGTTGGAGGCTGGGATTGGATGTCTGAGTCTGAGAGAAGGGAGGAAAACAGAGAGACAGAAGGCGAAAGAAGAAGAAATGAATGAGTGCAATGGACGAGCTCCATCTTACCAAAAGCGGCAAAAAATAAAAATAATACATTCTTTTATGGTACATTAAAAGAGAGCAGACCATTTTACTTTGTCTGTTAAGCTCAGCCCATTTTCTTTTTCTGACCCATCACATAGATGCAGTCAACAGTAAATACAAAGAAGAGAGCCAGAAAAATTTAGCACCTCTGGCAATATCTTCCTCAGCAACCTACACAAAGGCAGGCCTGACCTGCAACACCACAATCTCTACTACAGGTCGTCAAGGAGGCCAGTCCTAAATACACCTCAGCATTGAACTCTGGCTGGCTGGTGTGGATCAGATTGATTCCAACAGCACAATCAACTGGCCACCAACATACTGCATTGTTTTGACAACATATGCTTTACCATGCATCCTGTAACCCAGAGCTATGAATAGTGTTGCTCGAAGGTCCAATTCCTTCCATCACATGGCCAACTTGGAATCTCCCCAATCCCAATTATCTGCATTTGTCAGAAAAATTGTTAGAACGATTTCTAGGTTGATATTCAATTTCTTCACCTCATAATAGCTGTGCAGACAGACAGAATTAACATTTTGAGTTAATATTTTTACCAGTGTGAGTAAAGCCTAGAAGAATGGGACAGGATGGGGCAGAGAGTTTAACATAAATTGTACATCTGCAAATCAAACTGTTATGGGAAGTAGGGTGGTTATTTATCTGAATCTGCAATGCATCTGCAATAAGATAGATAAAATAATAGCACAAACAGAAGTTGAAAAGAACTTGGATCTAATTGTGATTACAGGAATATGGTTCCAACCTCATCAAGAGTAGGAAATTAATATTCCTGGGCAGGTATGCAAGATTTGAAATACAGACAGAATGTCAAATGAGGAGGGGTAGCCCTGAGAGTAAAGAATGACACAAAGAGATTAGTGAGAAAGGTCTGGCCCCAGAAGATCATGACATGAAATCAGTTTGGGTAGTAATTAGAAATAGCGAGAGTCAGAAAGCTCTGTTGGAAGTAGCTTTTGGGCACCAAACAGTAGTTATAACATTGGACAGAGCAATGAAGTAGAAATTATTGGACCTTGTTGCAAAGCTAGTGTGCATTTTGTGGAGAATTTGAACCTTGTATACACTGGGACAAACAAATTGGCAACAATGCTGAAGAAGATAAGATTGGAGGATGTTTTCACAACAGTTTATTGGCACAATACATTGTGGAAGTGACCGGAGACAAATTTGTTTTAGATCTACTGTTGAGTAATGAGCTTGGGTTAATTATTAATACTGTAGTAAAAGGCACTCTGGGGAATAGTGATCATAATCCAACTGATTTCCATGTTCAGTTGAAAGTGATGTGTTCTAAAAACAAACAATCTTAAAATTAAACAAAGTCAATTACACAACATGAGAGCATATACAAACAACAATCATAAAATTAAACAAAACCAATTACACAGGCAATGATCAGAGAACTGACAGATTAAAGGGTAAATAGAATGTAAATGAATGTTGGGGAATGAACATAGAAACTTTACAATGCATCAGCAAGAAAAACCCATCTGTGGCCCACTCAGGACGTGAAAGATTTGATTAAAAGAAGAGGTTTATAATATTGCAAAAAAAAAAGTGAAGATTGAGAGTGTTTTACAAACCAGCAAAGGGCTACTAAAATTCTAATTAAAAACGGAAATAGTAGAACATGAGCTTAAATTAGTCAGGCATGTAAATACAGATTGACAAAGCTTTTATAGGTATACAAAAGGAAAATAGCTAAGGTAAACATTGGCTCCTGAGAAGCAGAGACAGGAGAAATTAACGTGAGGAATGAAGAAATGGCAGGGATATTGAACAAATATTTTGTCTTGACAGCAGAAGATACAAGTTTCTTTCCAGGAGCAGATGGCAATCAATC